GAACAGAACACTTTATTTGCCGCTTTTCAGCGTTCACAAGGTTCACTCAAGATTTCATGAAAATGGAATATTTATCTGAGATAAAGCGGCATCATCACATGGCGCAATGATGGTTGTGAATATGCGGTATTACCAACACATCATTCAAGATTATCTAGACAGGAAGAATTTATTCAGTTGAAAACTTTATTCTAAAACCAAATTATGTTATGTTTTCATCCTTATTGACAAAAGGTGTTTACACAATAGAGATTTTCAGATATGGCATGAAAAGGGATCAGATGAAACTTGTGCAATCAAAGGCACAAGAATGCATAGTTTTGGATTGATTTGGATCCTTCATTAATTACAATAATCCACCCTAGCAGTTCCAGGAAATTGTACAGCAGTTATTCATGCTTCCCATCTTTGTTTCTTTGTTCAATTTCCTTCTGATTCCTGGAATCAGAGATGACTGGAAATTATCATACAAAAATTTGACTGTGACCCTTTCCTCCAATTACCTAGTAAAGACCAAAAATAAGGTGACCAGAAAACAGTAACATATCAAAGGTTGCTTGTAAGTATATAAAAGGTGAAACATATTTTATCCATCAGAAAATTTGCAGCATTCTGCATGAATTTGATGAGAGCAATAAGCCAAAAATTGCAATATTCAGCAGGTGCAAAAGAAGGCTCCTGAACTGTTTGAATAATTCATTTTGGTTCAGATTTCTGAGCACAAGTGATGGTTCTCTTACACATTCCCAGTTTATCTCTGTGTAAAGAAAATAAACTATCTTCATTCTAATTGTATAAAAAATCTGAAAATCGAAACAAAGAAAATATTTTCAAAACTTGAAATATTGAATTTTGCGCAACTTTGATTTTCAAAATCAGGATACTTTCTGCAGACTACAATTCTCTGGTAAATCCGCCCAACTCACACGGCTTCGAGTAAGAAATACTTTTTTTTTTATATCATAGACTATAGAAATGACGTAAAATCTGTTTTTTTTTTTAAAGAAACCCACCCTCAGTTTTCTGAATGGTTTAAAATCTTTCAATTATTTAAAGGTATTTGGGGATGACATTCAACAAGAATTCGACGGTGAGATCCCAAGACGCCGCCACAGTATTTCGAAGCATTGCCCGATCAGTCATTGGAAGGTCCCTGGCTTTCGAATATTTGCTCAACAACTTTTTCTANGAAGGTCCCTGGCTTTCGAATATTTGCTCAACAACTTTTTCTACCTGAAGGAAAAGTGAGTCTTGGCAATCGAAATCGGCGTGCATGTACAGAATTACAAGAAATATATTAATCTGCCTCTTAATTGTACCCCCCAGTGTCAGCCTCGGAATTTCAGACATAAGCAGCTTCATTACCCCATTTGCCACCTTCAACACGCCAGCTGAAGCGGCCAGAGTGAGTGTCAGCATACTAGAAAAAACTTACTGTGCAATTAATCCTGAAAAAGTTTGAAGCATAATAAATTCATCAAAACTATCAATGAAGGATGTTGCAATTTTTGTAGGACAGTTGCAGTTAAAATTATCTAATGAAAAATAAAAGCTAGCTTTTCTCCTAATATAACACTTCAAAAAAATGTCACCTGATGAAATAAATTAATTTAATTTTTCATTTGAAGAAATGGCTGTTCAAGCCCATCTTACTCATTTTTGAAGACATCCCACAAAACCTGCTTCATTGGTTCTTGACAAAATGTTTTTTTGCAAACAAAGCAGATACATTTTCACTGTCTTCCAGAATAAAATTTTTTGGGGGTGCAAAAATTGTTACAAAACTTTGCCGGTCAACAGACAATTTTTTGAAAACTTGCCAGCAAGAAATATTATGGAAATTTGCTGGTCCACAAGCCCCAAAAAGTTGGAAAACACTTGTCTATCCTGTGTATATTAAATTCAAAATGATGGATAGAAAATTTATATTTTATAAACATGATACAAGTGATAGTAGCCTATCTTTTTAACTAAAAAAAAATGGAGACATTTCAAGAAGAAGACCTGGAAACAATAGTTTGCAGGGCGACATAGAAAATGTTGGACCAATTTCAAAATGTGCGATTTTGGGATACTTGGGTATATTTCCTAAATCTTTGAGGGAAAACTTTTGTTTGAGTCCCTTCAGATTTGGCTTAGACATATTCAGGTATCATTCATCTGCATTAAAATTATTCTTACAATTCATGAATTATTGTTTTTTACTCTTGATTTTGCCTTGCTGTAAAGTTAAATTGCTAAAGAACTTGAATTATCAGAGAAAATTACTTTGAATACATATACTTCTGTGGGTATAGAATATCTATGAGTAATGATCAGTTTCGATAAATTGGCTAGAAAAATACGTTTGAATTTTAAAAAATTAATTGCTTAACCTGCCGAACTTTTATTTATTTGGGAATTGGGCTTCATTTTGGAATGGAGAAAATTCCTCATAGAAATTAAAAATTCTTATTTCTGTATTGTTGTTTCTTTACTCTTGATTTTACTTTGTTGTGAATTGAAATCGTTTCCACTTGTTTGAAAACAGATGGGTTCAACTATATTAATATAACTCGCATCATCGTACAGTATTATATCTTCACTCAATTTTGCTCTCGGAATTCTCTTATTTTTTTTTAAATAGATACGTTCAATGGCATTATTATCATGAATGAATGAACAGAAAACTTTATTTGCCGCTTTTCAGCATTCACAAGGAATAACCAGAAGAAAATATTATCATTGCAATTATTACTTTCAGCAACCTCCTCTTTATCTACCCTGTTGTGAATTCGCATCAGCATGTGAAACTTTGTTCATAAAACGGACAAATTCAACTGTTATGAGATTAATACTGCATATAATTATTTCTTTGCTCTTTATTTTGCTCTGTTGTTAATTCTCAAGCCTCCCAATTTTCAATTTCATTTTGCAATGCAGATGCGGGCATTCAAAGAGGAACACAAAAATGACCTGGGGTCAGGAGCTCGGGCAGTGGACCAAGCCATTGAAAGCATCGAGATCAACGCCCGATGGATGGCTGCTCATGAGGCCACTGTGACCCAGTGGCTCAAAGAACAAACAGGGCATGGTTCAACATGAACAAATCAACAGGTTGCTGTGGGAACAAAATGGGATTGAATCAAGTTGAAAAAATAGGAATAAACCAGCAATAGGTCGTTGGTGAATATTTGAAGAATTACTTTATTTATTTTTGAGAAAGAAAAAAAAGGGGGGAAATTGCGAGAAGAATGCGGAAGTTTTTTTTTTTTTTTCTTGGCCAAAGTCTTCTGAACTTCCAAACTCATGTTGCTGAGCGATTATTAACTACAGTATTATATAATCCCTTCAAATTAAGCAGTCTTGTGCAAAAATAATAATTTCCTGGTTGACAAAAAAAAAATAGTTGGGTGGAAGGTACGTAATGCGGTCTAGTCAATTTTTTTCTTCCTGAAAAGGAAAAACAAAACCTCAGGTATTCAGAGAGAGAAAAAAACGAACGCCATCTTTTAGCGGTTTAAATAAGTTAACTTCCGAAATTCTTTGAAAAATCTGTTCGATCTGCATGTTCATAAAATGTCATGCTTTGTATTTTCTTTGCCGAGAAAAAGCGTATGCAAAAGTTTTTTTTACTGGATCTCCACTGAACATGAACGGGGTTGAAGTTGTGCCTTATTTTTTTTGTGATTGGAGGATTAAATAAATGGACTCTTGTTTGGAAAAAGAGCCTAACTTTGATTTAACAGAAACTGCAAGTATAGTATTAAGAAAACTTTCAAAGTGACTGATATGATATCACACATCTTACCAGCAAAATCAGGGCGGAAAGTGAAAAAAAATTCAGTTTTTTCCCCACAAAATGTATAAAATGAAGTAGATTCAACCGAATCAAAGGTCACATCACGTCCAAACGCTCAAATGTGTTGATTGAATTAGCCGCCAAGCTCCACCTAGACTCGAGAAGTCTAGATGAACCCAGCAATCCGTAGTAGATGTCGCACATAAGTACATAACCCATATCCATCCATATACACACAAGAGCCCTGACGGAGTGAAAAGGCAACAAGGGTATCTCACTTCGGAATACGGAGTACAGTAAATTCCACCTGAACATAGAGTGGCGAATGAGAAACAGTCGGTTTATTTATTTTACCTTATCTGTAGACAGTATATGTGCCTGACCCAAACGTCAAGTGATTCCCAACAGTGAAAAATGGCTTGGGGATCAGTCTGGAAATGAGTTTTTCCATCCGGATGGGCGATTTCCCCTCATGGAATCCTGTAATGTACTTCGGAGTTCAGAAGCTCATTATTATTTCAGGCTCTTGGGTTCTGAAAAACTGTTGGAGATTAGGGAGATAATTCTACAATACCACGGCGGTACTCCAGTGCAAGTAGTGAAAGTTCCCTTTCTTGCGCAACCTCGAATGAATTGGGAAATTAAGTGTGAAGCGTTTGGTGCTGTTTCCATACGTGGCCTACTCCGTGTGCCTGATCAGTACTGTACAAATTTTGAGGTGCTCCCGCACTACGTGGCTGACCATATTTAACTTCATGAATGGTAAGAACGCCTTCCTAGCCCTTGTGTACCTTATTTACTGGCATACCATGTGAACTCAGCAGAAGACCCTCACCTGGATGTTGCACCCTAAAATCTTTATAAAATGCTAGCCCATGTAAGATGCGCACCCCATTTTCAGTTAATCTAAAACCAATTTATTTTAAATAACACACTGAGCTTTGTATATGAAAAATGAATCAAACTTGAATTCATTTAATTTTCAAATATTTTGCAAGCTACTGAAGATTGTATTGATTCTTAATAGCCTCCATTACATCCAGGAAACAGGGAGTAATATCTAACTTGAGGATAATTTTTAACTCAATAGGATCTAATAAATGTTATATACCACTTCAGCAAAGGCCACCGGAGTGGGGAAATTGTTGCACACTGGGGATTTGTTTGTAATTCTACACAATGAACCTGCTGTGCGCCTGAAGTGTACCAAAGTTCTTCTGTTGCACATGCATATCCCAATGTGCACCAATTGTGTGTTCACACCAGGATTACTCTGGGTCACATTTGTAAACAAATAAGTTACACCAAGGTTACAGTTGGTGCATTTGTGTGATGCTCCTGTTAATTTCACATTTGTGCAA